CCCAAACCCTACACCCTAAAACCTCAATCCCAAACCCTAGGCCCTAAATCTTGAAACCTAAGCCCCAAAACCTAAACCCTAAACCCTAAACCTTTAACCCTAAACCTGAAACCCCAAAGTGTTAGCTCAGCTGCCTTTGGAGGTTCCTTGTTGACACCCCAGGGGGCCCCAGCGCCTTAGCGTTTGAAGGAAGATTTTCTCGGAAGGTCAGCGGGATCTAGTAAGCAGGTTTAGGATTTAGGATTTCGGGATTGGGATCTAAGGTTTAGGATTCCGGGTTTAGGGTCTAAGGTTTTGGAGTCGGGTTTAGGGTTTGGGATTTAGGTTCAAGGTTTATGGTTTGGGGTTTGAGATTTAGGGTCAGGGCGAATGAGTAAGTAGGTTTTTGTTGTGAGAGCTGGGTTCTTCATGGGATGTATGGAGCTGAGCAGTATGTTGACCCTGTAACTAGCTCTTGTCAAGGGTTCCAGGGTTCTACCCCTGAGGTTGGAGCGCCTGAACCCTCAACCCTAAACCCTAAACCCTAGGAATCTTTCAAGGAACCCCAAGGCACGTGTATGGATTCATTTAAGGGGAATCTTGGGACTTGGCTATAGCGGTACAATTTAAGCGGTACAAAGCTGGAACCTTGGGTCTTGGGGCAACTTAGGGTCAAGGTCTTTGTGATCTGCTGTAGATTTTGGGGATCTGGGCGATTCTTGTTAGGGCCTCGGGAAAAGAGAGAGAGAGAGGCCTCTATACAGGATTGTATTCATGTCTTGGCACGCAGAAGCAGTTTTTCGCGAAGCGGGAGCTTTGGAGGTACTTTTGGTGCAAGATCGTAGGGAGTGTGGGCGGCACTCTGTTGCGATCTTTGCAAGCTTTCTTGTACCAGCAACATCTGTCTGCTCAGCGATTTTCGGTTTCAAAGCTTATACTTTGCACGCTACCCTAAACCCTCATCCCCTGTCCTTGAACCCTATTCCCTGAAACCTACCGCAGATTCGTCAGTGCTCTTGAGCTCTAAACCCCAAGCCCTAAACTAAGCCGTAAACCCTAAACCCTAAATCCTAAATCCTAAACCCTGAATCCTAAATCCTAAATCCTAAACCCTAAACCCTCAATCCTAAACCCAAGGTGCCACATCCCGCCCCGCCCCATCCAGCTCCATCCAGTCCTTCTGCTCTGTCGAAGCCAAGCACTGGGATGCCTGGCAGCATTTGAGCTATAGTCTAAACTCCTTAAGGAGATTATGTAAGGGGTTATATAGGGGGCTACTACAGGGGTTATTAAGGGGGATACAGGAGTTCAGACAATGAGCTATAGTCTAAACTCCTTAAGCGGGGTTATATAGGGGATTGGGGTTTAGGGCTTAGGGTTTAGGGTCTAAACTGCTTAAGGAGTGATATAGGAAATTGGGGTTTTGGGTTTAGGGTCCAAACTCCTCAAAGCGGGCTGCGCAAGGGATGATAAAGGGGGTTACTACAGGGATTTTTAGGGTTAGGGGGGATGCTGGGAGTTTAGACTATTTGGATTTAGGGATTAGGGGTAGGGTTTATGTATGAGGTTTTGGGATTAAGGTTTAGGATTTAGGGTCTATGGGGATACAAACGAAATTCTTATATTTATATAGAGATGTTTATTGTACACAGGGCTATATGGGGTGTTGGGTTTAGGATTTGTGACCAATGAAAGGAAGACAAAAAAAGCTGGATTCTACAGTGGTTTAGGGTTTCTAAGGGTTTAGGGCTTTGGGGCTTGTGTAAGGTTCAAAATTTAGTATGTACGGTTCGGGGTGTAGGGTGTGAAAGGGTGTGGTAAAAAGGGTGTACTTGGAGGGTCAGGGGGAATTGGTAAGTAGGTTAATAGCCCCTATAACCCACATAGTAATTTTAGTTATCCCCATCATTAACCTAGTCACCAAGTCCCAGTAGCCTCCAAGTAGTGTAGGGTTTAGACGGGTTCTGAGCCTGGGTCCTAAACCCAAACACCCTAGGTTACATGGAGGTTATGTAGTGGTTAGATTGGGATAATAGAAAATCAGATGGCAACTACTATTTAGGGTTTAGGGGTTTGGGGTTTCATGTGCGAGATTGGACTTCTCATTCCTCAGGCTTCGCAACGGTTATGCTCTGCAGTAGTTCGGTGCTCACGGGGCTTGGGTTTGCGTGTGTGGTGTATGAGCTTTGTGAGTATGTATATATATATACATATATATATATATGTATATATGGATGCATACATGTATTTTCCCATACTTCTAATGCCAAGCAGCAGGAAATGCTTCTGAACTAGCCTCTGCATATCTAATGCGCTTCTGACCCCATGGAGCACGCAGCGCAAAGATGTGCTACAACAATTCGACTCCACTTGATCCACAGGATTCATTGGCTTACGAGTGTTCTGAACCTACTTTTTCAGTCCCCTTAAAAGTATATACCCCAAACCCTATCATCCTCTACATAAACCTAGTTTTCAGTTCATGTTCAATCGATTCTCCACTATTGCCAGTCTTTTTGTCCTAAACCCTAAACCCTAACCCTAAACCCTAAACCCTAAACCTTGAACCCTTGTTTTCCAAGGGAGCTCATGGAGTTCTACATGTACCGTGCTCAGAACGACGCCTCGGCTTTTGATTTTTTAGGGTTTAGGGTTTAGGGTTTAGGGTTCAGGGTTTAGGGTTTAGGGTAGACATTGTCAGAAATCCTATATCCTAAGGCTGCTTCTCCAAGTTGTCAAGTTTGCAGGTGAGTGGCTACATACCGGCACAAGCGGGGTTTCTCTTGATTTCCTTGGGTTGTCTAATCCTTGAACCCTAAACTCCAAACCCTAAACCCTAAGTTATTTATCAAGGATGCAGACTACCCCTTGGAGAATGTCAACGCTGGAAATCTCGAAGGAATCATGTGGTACCTACAGAATGAGGTGCTGTCTGGTGTATATGGCCCAGGCAGAATGCATCATCAGGATGTGGTGCTTTCCAGGGACTTAAGGTTGCTGCCCTAAACCCTTGACCATTGAATTCTGGATGTGAAGGCCAATTCCTGTGCTCCCGGGATGTTATGAGTCTTTTGGCTGAGTTGTGCAGGGGGTTTAGCGTGTAGGGTTTAGGAGATATGCTCAAGTGAGATATTAGCGTGTTGGGTGCTGTGTCAGTAGGATCCCTGTTCAGGGTGACAGCGCATAAGCCTGACAGGCTTCCTGCGATCCTTCGCGCAAACTTCTTTCCCAAAGTGGGATTCCATGAGCGTACTCAGTTTAGGGTCTAGGGTTCAGGGTTTTCGCCCTTTGAAGCCCTACACCCTGAGCTTGGCACGGCCTTTTGGCCAGCACTTTGCCTTTGTGAACGTCTGGAGCCTGGGAATTTCGTAGTGGCCCCATGTGGCCCCCTTTCGTAGCTTTAGCCTAAACCCAACACGCAAAACGCTAAACTACATTTTCTGCTGTCATCTTGGCAGCAATGCCAGCAGTCCCAACTTGCAGAAATTACTCCGCGCAGCTGTGAACTCTAAGCCCTAAACCCTACATCAAAAAGATCTCAATCTTGGAACCGGCATTACAGGTCCGCCACAGTAAGCTTAAGTATAGGGTAGTTTTCCTAAATAGGGGGACCCCAATAGAGACCCCCCAATACCATAATCCTTGTAATAGGGATCCCACAAATGGTTCCCCTAATTTTGGGAAAGCCGAAACCTTTAACCCTAAACCCTAATCCCTAAACCCTATATATCCCTATATAACCTTATATAGCCCCTTTTAAAGGTACCCCTAATTTTGGGCTCACCCAAATGGTACCCCTAACTATAGGAGACCTCCATACGTTGAAGCCTGAAGGGCTATTGAGGTTATACTAAGGTTATATTGGGGCTATAGTGGGATAATGGAAAAATTGAAACTACCCATCAGTTTCTCTACGCCAGATGAGCCATAGTCTAAACTTCTAATATCTGCTTAAATGACCATGGCATGTAGAGCATGTGAGCTATAGTCTAAGCTCCTTAAAAGGGGTATTGTATAGTGGATTATATAGGGGACTACTATAGGAATTAAGGGAGATATTAGAAGTTTAGACTATGGCGCATCTGGTGTGGAGAAACTGATGGGTAGTTTCCATTTTATTTTCCATTATCCCACTATAGCCCCAATATAACCTTAGTATAACCCCAATAAACCCCAATATAATTAGCCTAAACCTTAATGGCAACTGGAACATGTGTACATGTATTCGCCTTGAGCCTTTGGGTCGTCCTTTCCCTCAGGGGAGCGGCAACTATTGCGATCCACTTTTCAAAACCCCTGGTACAAACAAAGCCTTTAAACCCCCTAAACCCTAAATCTTAGCCCTAAAACAAGTAGGCCTAAACCCTAAATCTTAGCCCTAAAACAAGTAGGCCTAAACCCTAAATCTTAGCACTAAAAAAGGTAGGTGAATCTTGTTGCAGGTGCCAAGTTTGGAATCACCCGCATCCTGCGCTTGCGCGTGCTCGTGAGAGCTACCCAGCCTTTGGTGGACAAGGGCCGCTTCGGATCAGTCTGTTTTCCCGCGTTTGCATTTTTCATCTTTAACTTACTGGGTTTTTTTAAGGAATATAATCCCTACATACTCCTCATATACTAAATTCCATTATCCCCTACTAACCTCCAGTAAGATAGATGCTAGCTGGGTAATAGTGTTTTTATTGGCTGGTATGCCGGTGTTCTTTGGAGTGTCTGAGATGATGATAAATATTTCCGGACCTAGCATGCAGTATACAGGTAGATGGCAGGTCCGATGACATTGAACCCTAAACCCTGAACCCTAAACCCTAAACATTTCTTTGGTCCGACATCTTGCACCACCTTTGCACTGTCTTTCGCCTTTCTGCTCTGTAGTTGTGTGGCAAGCTTGGGGCTCCATACATGAAGGCTCTGGCTCTCTGGCGTTCTCCATGTATTTGTTTTGGCACGGTCGCAACAATCGAAAGGTCATCTAAAAAGTCAACTTCCTTTCCGAATTGTCCGAATTGTCATTCTTCGGTTCTCAGTACTCCAAAACATGGGGCACATGGTTGGTTGTCTTCCCATTGGAACAGATACAGTATTGTTAACTTTGAAAGCAAAAAGCCTAAACTTAATGTGTCCGAGGAATGAACTTCGGCATTCGTGTGGCCTTTGATAGTGGCAAGTGTACTGGTCCGGATTGCAACATGGAC